TTTTTAAATATCAGTAAACCAGGCACATGAGTAGGAAAAGTGGGAAATCTAATGTCACCAGAAGAAAACATATAAGAAGAAGGAAAGGACATACGTTTTCTAAAAAAAGAAATTAATTATAATATATCAAAATAAAGTTCGGATCCAAAATATAATTGTGTAAAAAAGATGATTACTAAGTTGTCAATATTTACAAAGCAGTGATTTAATAATTTACCATAAATAAGTGATTCACCCTTTTATTTTTACAGACTTTCATTTTGCCACAATATAGTTTGTTCTAAATCTGTATCCATACATTTTATTGTTTACTCGCATAATTGTTTGGCTAATATATTATATTATACATATTTTTTTTTGTAATTTAAATCCTATTTCCGAAATATAAATAACATTATTGATTTGTTTTTAATATTAAGGTTGATGAAAGCTGTTCTTCGCCCACACCTCGGTTAATCACTGTTCTTCAATCATACTTAAAATTAATATGGAATGTCATAAATGAAGTTTCGGCCTACGATTTCTAGGTAAAAGATTACTGGAGTGAAACCTGTGATTTTCGTTCGTGTCAAACACAAAACCAAGATATTGACATGATATAATATATTGTGTCCTAAAACAATACAATATTCGGGTTGAAAGATGTGGATGAGTGTTGAATAACTAGGCCTGGTCAAAATGATTCAAAATATCAACATCGGCTGTTCACCCTGGTCTGAAAATGATTCGTAGTTCTAGAACGCATGGTTGTCACTAATGTTTACCATAGTTGCTATTGATTATGTTGCATCATATACCATGGAATGGCGGAGCATGATTTATTATTTATAATTTGTAATTAGCAAATCAAATAAAAAGAAAATCAGTACCTTGATAGTTGTTTCAGGTAAGTTGAGGGAGGCAGCTAGCTCACACCTTCGAGGCCTTGAAACATAGTTTTCACGGCAGAACTCTTTCTCAAGTCGTCCAATCTGTTCCCTTGTAAACGCAGTTCTATAGCGCCTGGGTTGACCATCTAAAGCATCGCTTGCTGGAACAGAATCAAGACGAATTTTACCAACTTTAGATGATTCCATTAAAAAATGTATTGGAAATGTTAAAATGTAGTTTTAAGTTGTTCAAATTCTTACTACCAATCTTCGAGTTGACCCGGAATTAATTTATTCGACTGTGATATTGATCCAAAACGTTCGTTGTAAAATCATATTTTAAGCCGCAACAATTTGTGGATAACACAGTATCTGGTATGTACGACAAGGTTTGGTATCAAACGCTTGCTTTGCGAAAAGATCCGGATGAAAACAAACACAAAGTATGAGGCAACAACTTTTATACGGAGCTGCTCCCGCTAAAACACTTTATAAAACGATTTATAGGGCTATAATTTCACAACTGATAACATCATGAGTGGGTGGTTATCTAATTAAAGTTTTGGCAATTATTATATCAATTAAAATTAGTGTCCAACACCAACGCAGTACCAAGTATTCTCAAATAATTTAGATTAGTTTTTGAATGTGTTTATTAGAAACCGGATGTTAGTGTTCACCTTATCGACTGATCATTTTAGTGATTATTTGGAAATATAATTAATAGTACATTATGTGGACGAAACATAATTAATAGGTAATGATGCTGATGGAGATACGCCCTATGTTGTTGGGCCTACATCCGTTTTTTAGATTTTACTTTAATTGTAATTAGTTGTAAAAAATAGAGAATCTATAATGAATAAGAATAATCATTTTCGATATATATAATAATATTATTAACTAGTTATTGGCATATATGCTTACACAAGACATCCTCCCTGATACTGTCCCTAGTACATTGTCCTACATATACATGAATACCTGATATATATATATATATATATATATATATATATATATATATACACATATATTTATATATTCATCATTCAATCATACATATGATATATAACAAAATATTTGTATAGGCCCATAGCCTATAATGAGAAGCTCATGCCCAAATCAAAAAAGGGATACGCAGTCACCAATTTACATGTTTACTATATAAATTTTTTATATTGGATAATAATATTTAGTAAGTATCAGAGGCCTATATAT